TGTGTGTGTATATGTGTGTGCGTATGTGTATGTGTATGTGTGCATGTGTATGTGTATATGTGTATGTGTATATGTCTATGTGTGTATGTATGTGTGTATGTGTGTATGTGAGCGTGTGTGTATGTGTGTGTATGGAAGAAAGTGCACTTAAATTGGTGCAAAAAGTTTTATTTTTTTTGTCGTACAAATTTAAGTGCTTAAAGTTTGCTAGAAAAGCACTCTCTTCTGACAATTCGTAAAAATATCCTTTAAGACAGAATGAATCCATTTTCTTGATTGTCAAATATTCATCGGTACATGAAAAAAAAAATCGGAAATCGGAACTGATCGGGAGAGAATGCCATCATGAAGTCAGTCAGACGGCAGTATCATTGCATGTCTCGGCAACTCTTATCATCTGATAGAATATATATCCCCTGATGAGAAGTGCTCTGTCTGCTTTCTTCAACTTTCTCTCGAGAATGTGATAAAGAATATCATCATGAAATGAACAAGAATAATTTTAGCAAAAAAAAGAAAAAGAAGAAAATGAAAAATGATAGCAAGCTGTTATTAAAAAAGACTAAAAATTTAGTTAAACTAAGTGTTATTTTAATTATTTTAAATTTATTTTAAACTCAAATACTATTCTCTCATACAATCATAGCATAATAATTGTATATATTTGTTACGATTACAATACATGCACAAAAAATGTAATTGTATTGATAATTTCCAATTAAATAAGTACAAAATCATACCGGGTACTCTTTGTTCACTTGAATGACAATTTTAAACGTAAATAAATTCTAGCATAGTTAGCGATTAAATTTTTCTGTTAAAAATTTGGTTAAAATTTGAAATTGAAAAATGAACTCGTTAATTAATGAATGTAAACATTAGGTAACATTCAAACTGAGCTTAATTGTTACCTAATGCTTACATTCATTAATTAACAAGTTCATTTATAATGATATATTTAATACAGCTAAATAATTTGAAATTTTTGAAGAAAGAAAAACCAACAGTTAATATGAACTAATCTTCGCCCTAACAATAGACAGGACAAAAGCACTTAGTTAATACTAATGCAGTAAGCTGACTGTTGATAGCTAATCTCTAACTGATAATGCTAGTGGGATATCTTGAAAAAAATTAAAAGCTAGGAATTTAAAAAATTTTGTTAAACGTTCTATGAGAGAAAAATGGCAGATTTTTATTCTTGACAATTTGCTTTTCATTTTCGCTTTCTTTGTTGTTCCTATTGATTATCAGAAAATTCAATTTAAGTTAAAAGATGCTACCTATGAATGAAATTAAATTAGAGAGTCTAAAGATTGATGAAAATTGAATAATTTAAGAAGAATATTAAAAGAGTTTGGTTAAAAATTGATCAATTAAGATAAATTATCATACTGTCAAATGAAAAAAGCATGGAACTTATCACTTGGCTACAAATATGAGGCCACGCATTTAACAATCCTTCTATAGGGGTTACGTCACACCATCGACAACTGTTCATCAGTGAATTGTGCGAGTGAATTTTATTCTCAACAATTTGCTTTTCATTTTTGCTTTCGTTGTTGTTTGTACGTTTTCAGATTGATGCTAACATAATATTATATGTACATATATATCAAATTAGCGATTTGAATTCTTTCATGAGAACATTAAAAAAAATAAATAAATTCTTAACATAATATATTATTTCTTATTAATTTATTTGGAAAAAAAATATGGAGAAAGTAATTTTGTTTCAGCTATCATTAGCAATACCAGATATAAGCAGTGAAAAAGCCACCTAAATCTTCAAGTTTTTTCGATTTTTTTTCTTTTGATTGATCGATTAATTGAGTTTATAATATGATGTAATTGTTCCTATTCTCAATGACAGTTTAACTGTGATTTCATTTGAATGTCAATTGGAGAAATGTTTAAGTATATTGAACTCGAGCAGTTTAACCAATCAATGATTACTCTGAGAAGAAGACAGTGCGAAGAGAATATGAAGAATAACAACAGTAAGTGCTATCCAAACAGTCCTATTCTCTTCACGAGAGCGAAAAATTCCCGAATTGTCACACTGATGATATCAAATGATCTCAAATGACCAGATTGAGATTTGTCATCTTCGCTGTGTCTCATATTTGTCACCCAACGCGACCTATTGTCATCCAACATGAAATATAACATGTTGTTGTTAGAATGAGAGAAGATGGAGATGATAGGTGGCAGTGTGGTATAGCAATTTGGAGGTGGCAGAGATTGAGAAGTTATGTGAGAGAGGGGGAGTATGCTAATGATGATTTAGGAAAACGAGAGAAAGAGAAAAATGAGGAAAATATAATGAAATTTGCATAGTTGCTGCTGTTAGCAGACATTGGATGAGTTTTTGATAAGTATGGATGCTGTCATGTGATGATAAAGATTAAAAAGAATTAGGGTGCGATAATTAAGTGTGCACGAGTGGAAATGATATATGGTTGGGAGTAATTTTTGTGGATAATGTGATAATAGTAAAATTTCAGGTTGAAAACAGGTTGGTATTGATAGTATGGCACCACAAACAGCAAATGCCAGGCGTTCAACTACTGAAAATCAGACAACAAAGGATGTGGAACAGGTGGCGGTATGTGCGAATTTTACTTTCGGCATTTATATTTTAAAAATTACAAACATAGCTTTTGTCATGTGATAATTGATTTTACTATAAGATAAAATTAATCCATTGTCATGTAGTTAATGCTCAAAAAAGGTTAGAGTTAATTATGTTGGCTTCTTTGGAATTAATTATTAGAATTAATTATGTTGGCTAATCATGCTAATTAACAGTTAAAAATTAGCAATTAAATTTATTTTCATAAATCGCTAAGCAACAAGAAATTTGTTGCAGATATTTAGTGAGCTGGCTATGCGACATAACGTTGGTGTCTTGGAGTATTCAAGGACATGTCAGGCAGTTGCATCAGGAATGGCCAGTGGTATTCTTGGATTAACCGGAATATCTGGATTTATTTTTTATTTCATCCTTGTTGTTTTACAGGTAATCTCTCTTTTAACTAAGATCATTTACTTTTACTTCTAATTGAAATTTACTTCAAGAATCATTTTTGTAACGAATTTGGATATCATTTTTCCAGTTTGAAAACTTTATGTAAATGTTTTTGACTTCCTCACTACTCATTTTAATTTCCGTTCAATTACAGGCCCTATTTTGGGAAATGAAAGCGAATTTTGAGTGGCAAAATTATTTCATAAGTCGAAGTTTATCATTGACGCATTCGTTAATATCCGGTTTATTCACTTATATTTTATTTTGGGTGTTTTTATATGGTATGGTTCATGTTTATTGAGCTCATCTTCCGCTGGTCCTATTTTGGTTGGAATATGTTAAGCTGATTGAAAAAGATGAATAATAATAATTATGATTTGATGTTTGGAATCTGTAAATTTGTGCATCAGAAAGTCTTGAATATAAGCATTATCTAAATCCACGAAAAGATGATTCACTCATTTCCTGTCGCTGGAATTTCTTTACGTTAAACTTAAAATTTTCTAAATACTCACCAGTCTGTGCTTCATCATATCACTGAAGCATTGTCATTACTATATAATTGTTTATTAACAGCTTAATGAAGCTCGTTAAAACCATGTAATATATTTCTTAAAACTTGTGTTTTTCCTTAGATCTATTAGCTTTTTATCTATTAATTACATTGTATTAGATCTGTCTAAATTCTTCAGGGCCATACTCTGCTAAGGTCATCTTCGAAACATTCTTGATGTCAGTGAAAGATTATTTCGCTTTCACTAGATGGTGCACACTGCTTAGTGCATGCCATTCAACTGATGGTATTAGGATTTTCTAAACCTTACGAAGTTCATCATATAATCGTAACCGCTGTCATCATCTTACCAATGCAGAGCAACTAGGTCGGGATTTTAGGAGCATGTGTTATTTTTACGATGCTTATTTTTGTTTGATGATCGAATTATGTCTTTTTCCTTGTTTTATGCTGATAATAGAATTTAATGATATTGTGATATGATTTGTTCTTTGAAAATGCGGTAATTGCGCTACCACGAATACTTTTCAAGTTGATTTTATATGCGATACATTGAAATTCGAACTCGGAGTAAGGCAAAATCTTATTTTGCAAATGTGATGTTAATGTTAGAGTTCAGTAGCAGTTCTAAAACCTTTTAATATTAGGTGATATCTTTCACCATGGTTTTGGTTGGATTCCTAGTTCAGAAAAGTAGCGACTTTCAGTTGCTCTTAGCGGCTTTTCTTCATTATTTTTGAATGTAAAAAAGTAGTTTTCAAAGTGTCATCTTTCGTTCGGCGTTTGATCGTTCGGTATTTTAATCGAAGATATTTGAGGGTTGTTTTTTAAAATTCATTTATACTCATGAGATTTACTGAAGTAATGGGAGAGTTATGATCATTAATTAAGTTTTCCTCGCATAATACTGGGATGTCTTGTCTATTTTTTTTTCTAATGAAGTTTCAGTTCACAATTATTGGCCAGCGTAAGGCAACATGTGGCTGAGTTTTCTCATCTTATTGTAGTTTTTTGTATCAGGTTTGTACCTCTGTCCATTTGGGCACCAATGTTGAGAGGTAACGACAAAGTAAAATTGAACCGGTCAGATCTTCTCAAGAAAATTGAAGAACAGCAGCTTCAAATCGATGATTATGAGAATAAACTGAAAGGTTTGCATGCAATTTTTAATGGAATTTCGGAAATCATAATTTCTAACAACTCTCCTGGGAAGTCTGAAAAATATACATATTCCGAGCACTTATAACCTATGTTATGTTCCCTCTTACTTTTTAATTTTAATTTATGAATTTTCTAGTGTTGTGCTATCTAATTTTTGCCTGCTGTCAGTAAATTTGATATTTTTCAGACCTAATTCGCGCTTACAAGGGACTTAACGCTGAAAGGAATGCTTTGCAGACAGTAGTTAAAACTTTGGGCTTACAGCAAGGCATGTTTAAATTCCGAAATGAATTTTTTTGAAGGCTATCATTTGAGTTAGCATTCGCTTTTCTTGCAGAAACTACAACTTCATTTGAGGAAGCAGAAAACAGCGTGCAAGATGGTGGATCTCATCTTGGAGCCAATGCGGAAGAGAAAGACCTTTCAGAGGTTCAACCTACTATTATTTTTTATTCGCGGCATTTTAATCGAATTTCGGATTTATTTGAATGTAATAACGGAAGCTGTCATTGAACCTTGTTTTTGCACTGTGTAATTGTCAGAAAATAAATCCTATAATAATGACTGTTTTTTTTTTCAGGACGATCAAGTCCGGAGTCTAAAAAGGTCTTTAGAAGTATTAATAACTGAAAAAAATAGAGTAGAGGCAGCTTTTCGATCTGACAGAAAAGCTTTATTGGTAAGTAAAAGCACAATCTTTTTATTCTGTTTTTATTGATTTAATCGTTCTGGAAATTTCATGAAATAAATTTCTCATCAGAAATGATGCATTCATGAAATGCAATCGTTTACTCTACTATCTTTATTTTGACTGTATCTGATTAATCTTAATTTGAAATTTACTGTATTTCTGATATTCACTAAAGTTCGCACTAAAGTATTTAGAATCTTCAGCTTATTTTTTGATTTGCAGGTCGAAAATCAAGCATTGAAGGAAAGATTAGCAAAAGCTGCTAACGAGACTGAAGCGCAAGCAGAAAAGTTGGAAAATAGCTTATTGGTAAATTACTTTTTCGACGGATTTGAGTTTTTTGTCTTTATTCTTGTAACGGTTATTGTAGGATTGATGTCATCTACTCCACCTTTTGCAGACATGTCCTGATTGTTTGATTGTAGGAATTACGATCAAAAATAAAGCTAATAGAAGGAGATCGTGAAAAAGAATTGTCAGATCATGGTTCTGTTCTGGCTGCTATTCAACAACAATATGCAAAAGAATGCGTCAATTCGGGAAATCTTGAAAAACAGGTGTAAAAGATCAATGATTTTTCACCATAGATCACTACAATATACGAGATCATTATAATTAACTTCACTATTTCTCCAATATTATTTATTACTGATTATATCTGAAAAATGAAATCAATTGTTTAAAACTTTAACATCTCGAATCATGATTCTAAATGTAGATCAGAGAATTGCGTCAAAAGTTGCGTGAGAAAGACGAAATATCCAAAGCATTCGAAACAGACATCGTTTCTTTGAAAGAGGAACTTAGCCGAACACAAAGTGAAGTAGAATTTTGGAAAAAAAAAGCTGAGAAAACACCAGCTATACAAGTGTTGGAAAGTGAACTCCAGGATGTAAAGGTGAAAGTTCATTTTGGTTTAAGAAGTACAAATAATATATAAAAAGCATAAATAATATATAATTTTCAGCCTTTTGATTTTTTTCAGTCTTTTTTTAAACCTTAAACGAAATTCATCAGGAAAGCAGTAAAAATGAAATTGCCGAATTAAAATGGAAGCTAATGGAGACTATGAATACAGAGAGAGAAAGTCGTCTACGTGAACTAGAACAAAGGTTATTTTTCAGAATTTCAAATATTTCATTGATATTTATTACGGTAACCTTTAGTTTATGAGCAAAAATTCTAATACAGGCTCCAGGAATTGTCAAGTGAAATTGGAGATTTTAATACGATTCGTACAGAATTGCAACATCAATTGAATCAGCTGGAGAAAAAAAATAAGGCTTTGGAAGATGAGAATGCATTTCTGAAGGTATATTTCTTCTCTAGACAATTTTAATAGATATTGATTTCATTTAAAAAACAGTTTTGAAAATTTATTGTAGATTCAATTGAAAACTTTCAAATATTTTTATAAAACAACTGGAACTTCTATGAGTTTTTTAGGGAAAGTAGATAGATCAAAAGAGCAGTTAGTGCTTAATTCATTTCTGGTTAATGAAATGTGGATGAGGTAAAATTCATGCCTGATTCATGATTTCGAAGCATTACTCATAACATTATCCTTTAGGTATTTATTAACAAATTTGATTAATGAAATGGTTTCATAAATGGACAGCGTTGCCAGTTGGAATTATGAGATTCATCTAAGATAATAATGATTTATCTAGTCTTACATCATAATTCACTTAGGCTTCAAAAGTAGCGGAAGAGATTGATGATGAATCTACTAATTTTGAATCACTGAAACTAAATTTCGTAAAGAGTGCCGAGAAATTGCGCAATAGTAAACAAACGATCAATTTCTATGGTACGTGCAAGTTTTTTTTTTTTTGATTTTATTCTGTACCAGAGAAACTTTATAAGAATTATACAGAAGTTACGTAAAAAGTATTCGAACTGTTTCAGGTGGAAACTGTTTCCTTGAAGCAAAACATAATTTTTTGAATATCTGTTGTTCTTTTATCTTAATTACAGAGCTATTGGGCCTAGATGAAACTTCGTGTGAACAGAAGCGGCGTTATGACGTTCTGAAAGATGAGTTCGAAAAATACAGATTAAAAGCTGAAGCAGTGTTAAAAAGCAGATCTGTGAAGGTATGGTCTATTATATTTCCGCATTCATATATTTTGTTAGTTTCTTATATAAATTAAAAAATTACGTCCATTTCTTAAAAATTAGAATGATTATTGCTGTTGCGGCATAGCTTAATTAACATCACAGATTAACCGCTTTGGTATCAAAGATGTGTTCTTATATTTGTTACTTATCAATATTTCGATATTCACAATTTTAACCTTTTTTCTTTCATGAAATGATAGTAGCTTGTCCTTGAAATCCCAAATAATGCTGAAGAATTTGAATTGTAGTTTCTATCCAAACGGCATTTAATACTGCTGACAGGAAATAGTTAAACGATTAAATAACTTTTACTGTTTATTTTCCAAATTTACATAAGTGCGAAATTGGTATTAATTGCAGAGCTCTTTAACCTAGAAAAAACCTCGTTCGAATAGAAACGATGTTATGAAATTAAAAAAAAAATACAACAGTTGTGAAAGATAATTAGAAATCCAGTTTTCAGTGCTTTAAACTAAATAGCAAGTATTGCCATAAAGCAAGCAGATTTACATCTTTTATCTTTTAGAATGATGCTTTGGAAAATACAGGAGTATCACATACACTGTCATTATTACCTGTAAACGATTGCTCATCTTGTGCAGCGGCAGAAGGAGACCTACGACATATGCGTGCAGTTGTAGCCTCGCTTCATGATAAACTTCGTACTCTTGAAATTGATCATGCTTATGCAAAAAACAGTTATGAAGAAGTGAGTTTTTTCAAAAACCGGTAAATTTAATCTTAATTCCCAATTTTATTTTAGAAAAAGGGTTGTGTAGGTTTTATATTCTACGAAAGCATTTTCAAATGGTATTAATATATTTCCGAACTAAGCTACATAAAATATGCTGCAGAAAACAACCCAACTGCAACTAAAAATTATCGAAATGGAAATGACGCAAGAAAATTCGGCCTCTGATTTGCGCAATCAAATGCATCAAAAGGGCAAACATTTTGCAATTTATAAATTTCATTTCAAATCATTCATCTTACACAATTATTTTCTGATAATTATATGACAACATGAAATCGCTTTTTAATTTGACAGTATTTAATTGTAATGAGAACTCTCACTGTTGCATTCATTTTTCTGATTTTTTATTTTCCATATTTTAATCTTTTTATTTACTTAGCTATTCGATTTTCTCTTACCCATCTTTTTTTGCTGCTATGTTGTTGGGTTTTTCGGTTCTTCAGTCCTTACTTCTGCTCTTGTTTTTAGTGGCCGAAATGGAATCAGAGATGCAAAAGCAACGCATCCGAGCTTTAGATATTCTTGCGGAGAAAGAAAATGAATTGGAAATTACGAAGTATTTTTTCTCTTCTCGTTGATGGAGATAGGGTTTGATTTTGGGGGAGAATGTTAAAGCTTATCTTTTTGACTTGAGATAATAATTTAATTTTTAATATTGTTTTAGAGTAATTTGAGACAGTGAATTGCTGAAATTCCTTAACTGCATAACAGAAAGCGAATCCATTTTCAATTAACTTTAAATTTCAATACATTTTGTAAATCTTGATAATGAATTATGTGTTTATGTGTTTTCTTTTCTATTGAAGTTAAATACAAAACTTTTCTATTCGAAAACTTTGCTTAATTAAATCGGAGTTAATATTCATAATTTAAGGGCTATATTGGCATCGATAAGAAGCCAGCCAAATGTTGATCCGGTAGATCCTCCGCAAGGTACTTCAATTCGTTCCGTGAAATATCGAAAAAGTCGCTCAAATGACTTATTTGAAAGTAATGCGTCTATTGATGAACGGCGAAGTGCAGGTATCAAATTTGCTTGAAGTATCTTTTTTTAATATACTGCAAGCAAATTAAGTGGTCTAGCCACTTATTATAAAATTTACTTTCTCTTCGCGAATCCTTCAGATGAATTTTGGAAGTATCCTTTTTTTTTTTTAATTTCCTTCATGAAATTTTCTATCCATTTAAAAATAATTTAAAATATCGGCAAGAAATTTTTTATTAACATTTTTTCATGCCATTAGTGATTAGTAGGTTTTTTTTTATTTTCAGAAATTCGAAATGTAATTGATCATTCGAGTGATGTCGATTCATGCTCCAGTGTTGTGGATGAGCACTACTTAGGTAAACCAAAAGTACACCATAAACATAGCTAATAATAATGAGTGGTTCATTTCTCAATCTTCCGCAATTTTTTCTTTGCACATCTGTTTTTTAAATCCAAGAGTGGTGTGCAAATAATTTGCTTTTCTATTATTTTAAGTTTTTAGAACATAAGCTTTCTTATTCTTTATAAATTTCATGTGATAAGAATTATTTTCTTATTCTTTATAAAAAAAATTCTACTGATAAAAAAATTATTATTATTGGAATCAAATCTTTGTTTAAATCTTCCTGTTACTGCCATTTTCCATTTTTCTTCATATTAATTGAAAGTCTACCAACTATTCGTTTTTTTTTTAGATAAATTACTCCTGAATACCGAAAAGACTTTTAGTATCTTCATTTAGTACCAATATTTTTGTCGTGGTTTTTAACGATTTTCAATAATTTCCTTGTTTTTTTTGCTTTTTCATTTTTAATGGTTAGTTCATTTTTGGATTACAATTTCTGATCTGTTACTAGTAATGATTTGCCATATATCTAAACAACCATTAAGCTTTAGAACGTTTATCAACTTCACCGAGTAGTACCCAAGTTTTGTTCACTTTCCCTGCAACTACTACTGCCACAGAAACTCGCAACATATTTTACGAACAACAACTTGCCAGGAGGGAAAAACAAATAATCGAATTAAGGTTGTTACTTAATTTTCGCAGTAAATGAATTATCGGGTTCGGATAAATGCTTTGCTTAAGATTTCTTTCGAAGCAACTGAATTTAACTTTGGCTGTCGTTATTTTCCCGAAATGCATTTCGTCTTCATCATTTTACTGTACTTTCTAATGTGAATATGAATAGGTAAAGCAAGATAAAATTGAACTTTAGGAATGCTATGCGTGTAGCAGAATTAAATGTTCGCGATATTCAACAAGCAGCTCTCACTAAAGATTTGCAACATTTTGAAATGGTAGAGAAATTGAAGGATGAGATCAGGATCCTGGAAGGTTGGTGATTTCTAGTAAAGTTTCATGTTCTTTATATTTTTGTTGTGAACTAGATTTTATTTCAGTTGTGCAATGATTTTATTGTCCATTTTTCCTGTGATAGACAAAATTAAACCGTTGAAATTTTCTATGAATTGTTCTACAACCTACATGTCAAATTTCGTTCCAGGAAAACTGAACTTTTTAAGTGTCGATTCAAATATGGAGTATTTACGGAATATTTTCGTTCAGTTGCTACATTGTGACAGTTCTTCTGGTCGTAAACATATCCTGAAAGCAATAGGCGCTGTGTTGAAATTAAGCGTAACTGAAATGCGAGTGATTGAAAAGCATAGCCTCTAATGGTACCATTTAGGAATTGGTAAGAATGCAACCGGTACAGATACATTCATATGTTGTAAAAATAAAGATGATAAGAAGAATATAATCTTGGTTATTTTATTTTACTTTTGAACGGGATTTTAGTTTGTTAAATATTTGAAAAACTATCACGGGACAGAAGACTTAAATGTTAACTTATGTTGTTTAACTGAGAACTTACATAATTTTCCATTTATTTTCAAGCTTTCTCGTTCTAAAGTTAAAACGTTTACAATAAGTTGTACAATGTTTTTTAACTTCTCGTTTTCTAGATATTCTTTTTACCTTTGTGTTTATTGTTGCCAAAATTCATCAAGTTGTTATTGTTCCAGATATTTGCATACGATTGATATTCAGTTTTAATTTCAATTAGTTTTAGTAGAGAGAAAATCTTTTAGATTTATTGGCTTTATGGTAATTTAAATAGGTGACATTCTGCGAATCCTAAGTTTTTGATTTTCTGACTTTGTTCTTTCTATGTTCTATTTTTCCAATCTCTTCTATGTTGATGTTTTTGGGATGTAATTTTTTCCTGCTGTATAAAAATCATTTTGCTTGCACTATAATGCCATACTCGTTTTAAATTCTTTCACTACAATTTTATAACACAAAGTCATTTTACTTCATTGCCTGAAGGTGGAAGAAGTATTACAGAATCAAGTATTCAGAACAATAAAATAATACAACCGGGTTAAAACAATGTAACCTTTTGATTGGCAGAGTTTTCCGGAAAAGAAATGTGTTACATAATTGATTTGCTAGATGCAACAATCCTAACTATCGTGTTTACAGTTGTCAGACTCTAACTTTCACAATTACATTTTAATTTAATTTAATTATGAGCTTGGTTTGGCAGATGACTAAAAAAAACTAAAAAATAGGAAGGAGGCAATCCATTGTTGCTTTCCTTATTCCTAGAAACTTCATGAAAGAATCAAAGAAGTGTACCTTTTGTAATATTTTTTGAAATGAATTTCAATTAACAAATGCTAATTATTAAAACTATGGCATGTCTCGCAGAATAGTGAAGCACTATTTGTTTATGAAGTATTGGTTGTTTCATAGATTGAATTACTAGAAAAGTTTCGAAGTAGCAGTCAGCTCATATAGAATTAACTATCAAGCTTGCTGATACGGGAAATGCAGTAATTAAATCGAAGTGCCAATATTAAAAACATTGTTTTTCAAACTTCAACTTTTAATGGAAATTTCATTTTTGACAACCAAGTTTTACATTTCTTCGAAATTCCTCTCTTATATTAGTTCCAGTCTTGAATGTGATATGATTAGAAATCTTTTTGGAGATGGAAAAGTAATAAATGAATAATTTATACTTGCATTAACTGCTTTTAAATTTTTTGAATTTATATTCACATTTGTTAAATTTTTGCTATGAAGAAAGCGCAAAAGTATTTGTTAGCGACAGCAACGAAAATGTAAACAATGCAACAAAAGCAGATATTTATGCCTGCGAAGTTCAGGCCGTTAATTAGAAGTATGACTATGTTTGTGAGCGTTCTATTGCAAAGTTTCTCTCAAAAATAAAATAAAATTGAAATTAATTCAAGGTATTCCTTCGATGGGATCAATTTTCCTCACGTACTAATTTTCAGTATTTGTGATTGGTTAAACCTAAAATGTACTTCATTTTAAGCTATTTAACTTCCTGTAATCAATTCAAATTTGATTTCGAAAAATTTTTCAAAAATACCGATATTATGCATTAAATAAAGAGTTGCCATGCTTTGCTGTCATCCTTTTAAATTTTTACAACATTTCAGGTGTGTTTATCCATTAGAAGATCAGTAAGCCTTTTCCTATAGCAGTAAAACTGACTGAGTTCCTAATTACAGCGGATTGATATTTGACGATTCCTGTTGAAAAGTACTTTTCTTTTTTGTTGCTAACGATATATGATTATGTACAGTAATCCAAAATTAAGCAAGCAAATTTAATTTTTGCAAATTACACTCATATTTCTTAAGTCTAAAAATATTTATGAAGAAAAAAATTTCAAATATAAAATGTGTGAAAGATTTGCAATTTTAATTTTAATTGTTGATTATTAATGTGGAAAATATCTTAGAATATTTGAAAGAGAGTTCAACCATCAACTGTGACGCTTTCGAACGATCCAATTGGAAATGTCAGTGATGATTTTAATATTTTTACATCAATGTGTTCCGTTTTCATCATACCTATAAAAGATGAATGGAAAGTATTCTTTACTTTCGAAGTTTTTTTCCGAATATATAATTTTTTTTGAGTATTTTAATTCAGTAAGAAATTAGACATTCTAAATTTTAACAAATCGCACTCTCTAAGATGGTTTATGATCAAAACCAATCTCATTATTCTCATTAATTATTTCTCATCTTTCCTAAAAAAATACTGCTTAATTAGAATTTTTTTTCCACTGAACTATAAAAAGGGTTAATAATTGGTTTCTTGAACTTGAATTTTTCTTATAAAGAATTCAAAAATTCTGCGTGAAAAGTTGTTAGAAAATTATCAGCAATGCAGTAATTTGAGGTAAAAGCAGATTTATGTTTTCTTTAAACATCGAAAAAAAAGGCACACAAGTGGAAAGTAATCTTTCGGGTTGCTAATCTGATAAGAAAGCAAAAGTTTATTTGAAAGTGTTGGAAAGAATGGATATATATATATATATATTTTTTTTGAAGAAAACAACTTGAAATGATAAGAAATGAATGACAATACAAAAAAGCAGTTTAAAAAAAATAGTTTACAAAAAATAAAAAATAAAATTTTTTTGGATTTGAAGTAAACTTACTTCGAGAGTGATATCGAATTCTGACCCATGTATTCTCACTAAGCAATTAAACAGACATTCTCAAATGCCTTCTAAAAGTGTAATTTATCTTAAATTCATTGAAATATTTTGGCTTAGGCTGAATTTTATAGCCTGGCTATAAAATTAATCGCATAACTGACATAAAAATTAGGCCACTTTTATTTGACTGATTCGGTAACCTTTTATGTTTACATTATTAACAAAAAAAAAAAAATTTTTTTTTTCAAAGTATGCATTCTAATAACATCAACTTTATCTTCCACATTACAAATTGAGAAAATGAAATTTTAGCGTGGGAAGAAATAAATTGAAGAAATCTGTTTGTTACTTTTGGATGTCAAATTTAGCTATTATTTATTACAATCATAAATAGTTATCGTATATTTAATATGATTTTTTTTTAATTTTATTAAAATAAAATGTCATTTAATTTTCACTTATGGTTTACTGATATCAACTTCTGATATTTACTTTTGTTGCATGTACTTACGTGTTCAGGTGTGATCAATCGATTTCGTTATTTCGTCTTTTTGATTTGTTTTAGATTGGTACCATATATTATACACACTACTCATTGAACCTTAGATTAACATAGCTGTCATAAATTGTCCCCATATGTTCAGTGAATTCTCTTCTCGTTTGCATTATCTTTACCAGTTATCATTTATCAGTATGTTATCATAGATTTGATATATTCATCAGTTCCATCCTCAATAAGTGATTGAAGTGCAATATTTAATTTGATCGTTGTAGATAATAAAATGAATTTGACGATCAAAATGGCATCCATCCTGTTGTTTGCATGCCGGAAATTAATTACAAGTGAGGATACGATTATTAATACAATTAGATATATTACTCATTGAGCTTCACAGTACAACATAACTGTCAATTATTTTGTTGAGCAAATTTCTTTATGAAATAATTGATAATAATGCTCAAAAATTAACTCATAAATATATAAAAACGGGTAGATAGTATTCATGTTGAGGCAAATTTTTGACTTTCTTATTTGACCTCTTCACTCCAACTTGAACCATTCTTTGAAATTCATTCTCATCGTGTTATCGCCTTCTTAAATTTATGCAGTTTCTTTATTAATTAAGGTGATGTTTAAATTCAACTCAGCTATGATTAAGAGAAAAAAAGTTTTTTTGCATCAAAAGAAAATTTTTATTTACCTGTCCATAATGCTTATAAGGGTCATCGATGAATCTAATTCATCGCTTTTTCCCATGCAGAATCACTATTTGCAACATTTTGTGTTATTAAAATAGGAGGAAACATTTGACTTCATTTGTCAGTTTTATGAGCAGATTTAATTTAAAATCCTAGGTGAAATTCTATCAACATATATATCTTTGCTGGAACTGATATCAATCAATTAGCATTGTCATTTTACTTGTCAATTTTGAAATTTCTAGTATAATTTATCTGTATTCTTTCCTCTATTCAAAATTTATTTCAAAATCTCTTTAGCATCACTAGCTAAATTGGAGTTACTGTAGAATTCTTTAACCTTTAACCTTATCAGAATTAACAGGATATCGTAGTAATATGATTTTGATCATTGAGAAAAGGATAGATCATAATTTTTTGAGATTCTTTTTTACTATTCAAGATGAATCCATACATCTGTGACCTGACCTCTCTGCAGATTTCAGTTGATTTACTCTTTCACATTTTACCTTATTTCTAATGTATAAACCACTTTTCGCAAGGGTAGTTTTACCTGCTCCGAGATCGTTGCAATCATTTATCATTAGGATTTATCTCGTCCTGAGGATTGCTTGAAGAGACACTGGCAACTGATTTTATTTACCACGTAACATAACATGCCCATGACTTACTCTAGCTTGTTTGTACGTACACATCCCGATTTCAACATTTCTTGTACTCATTCGAATCAGAAGGATAAGTGTTCTAGAGTTTCATTAGTGCCTTACCTTATTTAAGGCCTTTCGCATTCATGCGAATTAATCAACCGGTAAAGGCAAAACTCCGACCCTGGCAGGACTCGAACCTGCAATCTTCGCCTCCGGAGGGCGACGCCTTATCCATTAGGCCACAGGGCCTATCTTTAACGGCTGTACAACGTAGAACAGAAATATTTTTCTTTTTTCCCTTTCTCTCTCTCCCTCTCTCCGTCTCTTTTTTTCTTCTTTCCGAACTCAATTCTGTCTAATTAACATCGTCGGTATTCATTAAAAAGAAGAGATGTGAATATTGCAAAAGGATCAGAAGCCATTATTGATTTCATCTGTCACATCAAATTACAATGTTGAATCTGAAAGAAAAGGAAATAACGTCAAAATGATTGCAATCAAAATAAATCATTCTTATTTAAAGAACGTAAAAAAGCATTATTTAAAAAAATTTGAAAAAAAATATTGACCAATTATAAATTTTTAAGAATTATAAAATTGTGTGTATTATTTAGGAGATCTGAAATTGGAAATTGGAATAACCAACATTATCAAAGTTTACAAATATTATGAACAAATTTAGAACTGATCAATTTGATAATATTGTCATTCATTAGTAATTTTATTAAATTTGAATTTTATAATTATTCGAAATATCATTTAATCTATCTAAAATTAGTGAGACAAAAAAAATGGAATTTATAGTTGATCAAATGTAATTTAATTATTGATCAGTGTTAATCTACTTTTATTACTGTACCGCCATTTTTGACCGCCATTTTTTGTGAGCGGAAAATTTGCTCTAATCGACAATTTTCATGTATATTCATGAAAGGTTTCATAATGGTAATATCATACAGCGTATGGTAGGACGGAGAAGGTTATCTTCCGTGTTTGACAGTTTAACAGTTATATTACTTTCATTTCTGTTCTTCATTATATAGCATAGTACAGATAAGTAAATATCTCGGTAAGTAGTAAAGGCAATTCATTCCTTTTTTTTTTCTTGAATTATATAGTGTAAGTAAATAGTATATGTAAGTATCGTGGTCTTAAATTATATGGTATAAGTAGATAGTATGAGTGAGTATCGTGGTCCTGAATTATATGGTATTAGTAGATAGTATAAGTGTCATGGTTTTGAATTGTATGGTATAAGTAGATAGTATAAATAAGTATCGTGATCTTGAATTATATAAGTAGTATAGATGAGTAAGTATCGTGGTAGGTAGTGAAGGCAATTCATTTTTTTTCCTTTAATTATATGGTATAAATAGATAGTGTAGGTAAGTAAGAATTTCGGTAAGTAGTAAAGATAATTCATGAATTATGTTTCTTTTTTTTTTTTTGAATTATATAGCAAATTTTATTACCTTTTTTTTTTTCTTAAAATATATGGACAGGTAAGTAGTATAAGTAAGTATCTTTTGCTTACATTGTTATCAATACAATTATAAGAAATGTTTTTTTCTGGCGAATGTTTGGTAAATATTATTGGATAAGTTAATTAAGTGATTTGGTGAGTTAATAAGAAAAGATGAATTAATTAGGTTGTAAATTCTTTCTACCAAAACTTTTTTACAAAAAAAAAAAAAAAATGGAAAGTTTTAAGCTAAACTAACAATAATTAATTTATGACTGTTATAAATTGTTCATGTCTTTTTTTTTCAATTTTGAAAATTGCTTCATTAATTGTTAGCATAAAAATGAGCAATGATTATATGAGTTCAATTATTATTGTGATTATTCTATCGATGAGTTCTTAACTGTAATTAATTGACATTATTTAAGGTAGTGCATGAAGAAAAGCAATTGCAATGGGTGAAGAGGTGGAAGTTTATGATCGTTATGATTTAATATTACGCATAAGGATCGCTGAAGCGGTAATGATATTTCTTTTGTTTCCAGATCAGATGATGCTTTGTCTTTTTTTTTCTTGTTTAAAATCAACAATAATAATATATAGCATGAAACAATGAAGCAGTAAGCAATATGAAGTATAAGAGTAAAGCTTATGTTCTATAATTCTAAGTGTGTTTTTAAGCTAAAAAAATAAATGAACGAATGAAATGTAAGTTATGAATTAAGAGATAACTTATGAAATTTTAAGGTTAGATTTTAAAGTTAGGTAATTTAAGACTAAAAAATAATTGAACATAAGTTATGAATTAAGGAAGATCGAGAATTTATTATATAATAAAATAAAATCATAAGTCATTGTCGTGAAATCTGGTAAATCATATGATGTACTAATGATTTATAGTTACTGTGTAACTATCATCAAATTACAAATGAAAAAAAAGATTACTTTACTAATTGTTAACATTTTAAATCAAATTTTTTGCAAAGTTTTTTAAAGATTGAATAACAGCATTATGATATCACTGATAATTCAGTGTATGTTATTTATACTATGATAGTGTTGCAGATATCACTATTTGATGATGTGAGGGAGAATTTTCAACGACTGATTCAAAATTATGGTAAAGAGTTGACTACGCTGGAAAGGAATGCATTTGCAGTCTTCTATAAGGTTTTAAACAGTTGCATTGCTAAATTCTTAAATTTGAAAATGCAAGAAAAAAAGTTGATGCTTATAAAGCATCAATTTTTTATTATTGTTTATTTTGAAGATTACAAAAAGCATCAATTTTATTAATGTTTTTTTTGAAAATGATTGACTGAAATTAACTTATATAGGATATTTTTATTAATGAAAATATTTATGCTGGTTCCATGCTGTAAGGAATTTTTATTTTGTGATTATCGATCATTATACAGTTTAACTACATAATAATCGATGTAGATGTTTTCAAATTTTTTTGGCATTAGAGTGAGAGAAATTAGAAGTTATTCGTTACCAAAATTCAAATTTACTCATTAATTTTAATCTTTATTGGCTAAATTTTAATTTTGTAAAATTGTCAAGCTAGGAAAACAGTTACATTTAGCGTTTACTGGATAAATTTCGCAAAGAATACAACCTATACATGGATTTGCAACAACAAATACCACGACGAGAAATTCTTAAGCATCGTATTTTACGTGATAACATGTATCGAGCGCGTTATGAAGTGATTACAATTTGCAAGGAAGTGATCGTAAGTCGTTTTACAGTTGAAATATCTGTGAAGGATTTAAATGAAAAAAATGTAGGCATAATGTAAGTATCATTATGGCAAAGGTCACATAGGTCATGATTTTCATGCTTGATTCATTTTTCGGGATTTCTCAGGAAGAGGTAAGAATCTTAAAGCTATCTGTGTGTACAGTTGCTTTTTTCAGGCATGTAATTTTGAGTTTTACAGCTTATCATAGTGATACTCAGATAATGCTTACACTTTTTTTCACTTTTAAATCCTTGACAAATATTATTTTTGTAATCGTTAAAATCATTTTCAATTGTTCAGAGAATTTGTTTAATAACATGCAAACTGATTTTTTTTTATTTCTACTAATGTTAAGTTTTTCGTCTTCCATTGGTCATTCAGGAACCATAAAAAATTGAATGTTAAATGTGTTTGGAAAATATTTAATTTATACAATGATTAATGAAAATAATTATTGCCAACAAAATTTTTGTCAAACTCTACTTGTTTTAATCGAAAGAGGATCATGAGATTACTTTTGAAATTAAAAAATTGTTTCTAACATTGTTTCAGATAGGAGCAAATTGAATTTAATGATGAAAATCTGATAATTTGATGCAAATAATTTATAAAGCGTAAAATGTTTGCTTATAGGATATGATTGATAATAGTATATTGGATACGGAAAATATCGAGTTGAAAGTTTACTTTCTAAAACTTCGTGCTGATTATTATCGATACTGGTCAACCACTGTAAGTAACGATAGATTTTATGGTAAATCTTCTTCCATTAAATTTTAATTTTTTTTTCCATCATATATTTTTTATTGTTTAATGGATGAAATATACTGATCTGCATGAGTTATCCATTATTTAATAAAATATATCAGTGAATAGTGTAATTTTTTCGCTCACCGGATGGTGGAAAAGATTTAATTATAAAATTTTGTTTTTAAAAATTTCTGTAAATCTTAAATTACCTGTTGGCGTAAGATATAGCATAGAATGCATTATGCTTAAGCATAACTTTATGCATTTTTAGAATATTTTTTACTATGTGTATATTTCAATTTTAATGTATTTAATTGTATTCTATTTCTTGTTAAAAATAACTCCTCATTTTAGATTTGCATAATCGGGCCGAGGAAAGCTATCAATTGGCACTTAAATTAGCAACCAAAAAACTCCGAAGATTTCATCCTTTACGTTTAGGTGTAATGCTCAATCTGTCCATACATTATTATAGAGTACCGTATGATCGTATCAAAGCTATACAATTATCAATGCAAGTATGTTTCTTTAATTTCAATTTATTCGAAAAAAGAAATGAATTAAAATAAAAAATCCACTGATTGGCGATAATATAATTTGAAATGATAATTATTGTAAGTTATGATCAATTTTAAAAATTCTTCAATAAAAACGATTAAATTTTAGGCAGTTACTGAAGGGAAGTATTATGTTGATTTCGATCCAGATATTCGTACAGCGGTAGAGTTATTGCAAGATAATTTGGATCTTTGGATGTCGAATTTAGGCCCTAGAGAAGTGCATGAATTGGAGATGCTGGAAGGAGCAAGAAAGTGGCATGGTGATTACCGCAAAATGTACTTCAAATTCATTCCTTCTGTCCCCTCTCAATTCTCTCAATTCCTTCCCTGCCCTTATTGCATTCTCTCTTTTTATCAATTTTCAAACGAATCTTTCTATTCTAATATACTGTTTACGACAAAATTGAAATTTTCCTTGAAGATAGCTCTTCTTGATATGTTAGCTAAATTAATTCTTCTCTTAGCAATTTCAATAATTCAAAAAGAGAAAAACTTTAAGATTTTTCTTTAGGTGTTCTTTTTCATTCCTCTATTAATTGTTTCTTAAATTTTCCAGGTAAGAAAGCAGCGGTACCATCCATACGTTTACTACGTCATTTATCTGGTGAACCAAATCCGAAATTTGAACCTCCGATAGTACCACGCAAACGCTATTTCACTATGCCTCAATCACTCAACCACTACTCTTTTTATGATGATGCACCGAAATATGATGCTAACGTTATATATGAACAAATTTTCAAACCCAAAACACCTTCTTCAACTAAATTCGAAAGTGCTACTGCTAAATCAGATGATAGCGCAGCTAAATTGGAAATTACTCAAACACCACCACAAATTACTACATCCATAACAACTACTTCATCCACTATTTTAGCACGAACAGAATTACAGATGACCACAACAGTCGAGAATGATCCAAATTTCACAAAAACACCTCAACCTACACTTCCTGAAATTTCATTTTACTCTACACCACAAGAAGAAAGCGCGTCATACAAAGAACACGAATCGGATAAAGAGCACGTTCCGGATCCTTTTGAAGGAATTCTGCAACCGCTCCTTCTTAGTTCATGGTCCTCATCTACATCATCCTCGTCCACTACAATATCACAGCAGCTTGGCGAAGATAGTGACGATGATAATGGTCACATCGAACAGACAGAATATCGTCCATCGATATTACAGGTTAGTGAACCACGTGATATTCCACATCCAAATGAACCTTCACCAACAACAATAGAACCTATAAGTGAACTGACGAAGCGACTTCGTAGCTTTGAATCCAGAATGCTTGCCATACGAAACAGACAACTTAGACTGGAAGAGTCAGAAGCAGGCGAGGAATCAGAAGGTGAACATGCTGCAACGGAACAAGAATCAGACGATGAAGATGAGCAGCCAGATGAAGGGAATGATTCAGCTGCTAATAGGGAATCACGAATATCTCCCAATATTGTGGCTCCAATCTCATCATTACACATTGTGACAAGTGAAGTTTCAGCTCCTTTATACACTCATATAACAAGTAAAGTTGGTGTTGTTCGAGAATTACAAACGCAATCTCAAAATATACCCGCTGATCGTATTGGTGACAGTCGCAATGTTGAATTACAACAGCATTTTACAATTTTTTCAAAACAACCGTCCACTTCTTATCAAATTGATCTCTCCGCTCAACAGCAACAACAACAAAGTAGCTCAGAGACTGAGCAAATGAAACCTTCTGGAGCATTTGAACATCTTGTATTTTCAGAACCTAAACCACCAACACCACCACCATCGTCTAAAGCATATGAACGTCTTATATTTCCGGATTCTAAGCCACCAACATCACCACCACTAGTTATTTTCACACCATACGGTCCAAAAATTGCTCATTTTTCACCAATTCCATGGCTTGAAGGAGCAACTGCACCGCTGTCACCTTCTTCATCAGTTAAAAAAAAACGAGTAACTTTTAGTGATGAGTGTACCTATTGGCCCCCTCAATCAAGAACTCCGTTAAGAACTTTTGCGAGATTTTCAGGGCATAGATTAGGGCAAAGATCAAGACAGAGATCAAGTCGTCCACCTCCACCATCTCTAAGTTTAGTATCACCTGAACAATCACCTGAAAGAGGACAACATATGCCTCGTTCATCACGAAATTACAGCAATCAACAAGCCGTTGCGATATTGCAATATGACGCAACTCCTCATCAAGTCTTTTTTTATCCGCAACAAGTTTCTGGACAAAAGCAGCAGTTAGGATATCAACGACGAAAATTAGCGCAACGAAAATTACTTCGGCGCTCTTTTTCAGCTCCTCGTGAAGGTGCTACATGGCCAATATCTTCATTAGCACGAGAATCTCCATATTTCATCTACAGCGTTTTACGTCGTGCTTCTGCACCAAGTGGACAAGCCTTTGGTAGGCGATTTCTTTCAGCACATTCAAGTGCTGAGGATTTGTATGATGAAGCTGCTGAAAAGGCTTTTCCTGATCCATGGGCTCCAAGAGGAGCAAGAACGATGCGAAATACCTTTCCTATTATACCGTGGTATCCAAAAGAGGAACCGCGTGTTCCGTGGATTCCATTTCAATGGCCTTATAGGAGAACAATCAGAGAATAAAGTCTTATATGATTAAGGAAAACTAACTAACAATCTTTTAATTTCCTGGAAAATTGACCTCTATTAATTCAACAATCTAAACCGACTATCTATCTCATTATTCTTTTATCAATAATTAATTTCAATTCAAGTAATTTCAAACAATTAGCAGCAGCATAACGAGACAACAGTGATCTGTTTTAAATTAAAGGTACCATAATACTTTCTAATATTTTTTGGAATTCACTTCTAAATTTATCAGCATTTAGCTGATGAATAAATAAGGGGCAAATTACTTAAGCATAAAAGACGTGGAAGCTATTCAATAAGAGAATAATCAAATGTCTAATGATAGTAAAAATGGAAGAGTTAAAAAGATATGTTTTAGAATTTTGATTTAAAAAAAAAAAAAAAAATATGTTTAGCGTTTATTTGTTTGTTTGTTTGTGTGTTTGTGTGTGTTCCCTGATAAGCAATAAATTTTAATCGACAGCAAAAATGCTCACTGTACTCATATAAAGTGCACGTGCGCTGGTGTATCTTCGGGATCGTTTAAGTTAAAGAATTGATATTAAAAACTACAGTTTGAGGTATAAATTGAAATAAGAATGTTGCAGTAGTGTTGCCCACGTGCAAAGGAATGGTGGTATAATGAAAACGGTTTAATTTACAAAAAAAAAAAAAACGAAATAAAATAATAACAGCGGATAATATTACAGTACGGGGAAAATGAATGCAATAAATTGGCTGTAATTTATTATTTCCTAAATTTTTCATTAATTTCAGATCTGATATGAATGATGAAGTTGAATTATTTTAATAGCAGTCATTTATAAGAAGCGCAACACTTCGATTTTATTTATTTTATTCATTAATTATTCTTATTCTATATTTCAGCTCAATGAAATTCACATTTATGCATTTGAACATGTATACGTGCATATATATATTTGCTTATTCAATGTCTATTTTTTTCAATGATATCTTTTTTAACATCCATGCTTGATGATACTTTATCGATTCTATCACTTATCACTTACAAATTTTATCAGTTCCTATGCTCATGTTATTATCACACTTCTTTATTGAATGCTATAATTCAAATTATCGTGCTACATTGAAAAAGATTTAAAATAGGAGAAATTACAAATAAGAATTTATTTGTTGCATAACTGATATAAACTCTTTATTTTTAGTAATGAAGTGCAGGTTTGTCGCAGGATTAAGTCCTGTAGTAATTTATTTCATTTGCAGCTTTGAAGGTTCTGGAAATTGATAAATTGTCTTCTTGAATTGTGCTTTAAATTTTGAATTAAAATTTGTTTTTTTTCTTATTTTGTTGAAATTGAAACTAAAAGAAAAAGATAAAGCAATCAAAACGAAGTGTTAATCAATGTAGCTACGCTTACCTATACAATTAAATGCATCTGATATCGATATGCAACAATAGGTAAGCTATGGAAAATTCTAAAATTCCAACAGTATATATACTGTTAGAATTTTCTATAGTAT